CCTGGCGTTTTCCATGGCAAAATCCAAGTTGTCATAGTAATCTGTCATGCCATTCTTGAACTCATCCATCAGCGCATTCAGGTCATCACACGATATGTAGGCAGTGGAAACACTGCAGGCTGCCATTGCCATCATCCGGTTTTCACTCTGAGCCGTGCACACTGTTAATTCAAAGGCTCATGCACCGCAACAGCACTAAGAGTTCAGACACGTGAGAAATATTTCTTCAAAGCAACTTGTCATATAAATAATAGCTATCATTTCAAATCCCAATCTCTCCAGCTTGTTCATTTCTCCCCACACTCCACACATCATAGCAGTTTGCACGAATTACTAATTTAACAGGCACCAAGATCTTCAATCTTTAGTGGCCCAAGCCGTCTCAAATAAGACAAGGCTGACTTAGTAGAAACACTAAGCTTTGACATTTTGCGACTCAGCTGGCACACGACTTTCTTCTCACAGGCCTCAACCAAACAAGTGTTTCACCTAATATTTTTTAACTTGAGATGAAATTCTTGAGATGGTTTGAATCTTGAGTGTTTGCCCGCCTGCTCCGTCAAGTCTCTTGCCGTCAGGATGTCATCCACGTTTTGCAGTAGTCTTCCCAGTTTTGGATCCCCCAGCTTCTCGAACAATTCCATAAGCACTTGTCGTCCTAGGCAACACATGGCAACCCACACAACTTCAAACACCATGTGGCAAAGTCTTTGGCAGTTTTTTGCAAGTTCAACTGCTGAAGTAACTGAGTACTAAGCTTCAAGCGGTCTTGCAATTTCTTCACATCTCTCCAGACTCCCATCTGACGAATGTCTTGGCAAGTTTGTGGTCTTGCTCGGCCCAAGCTGGCGTCCAGCATGTCAACATCATCATCCGTCATGGCAAGCGTTTTGAGCTCAAAAACTAAATGAGCTACGGTCAACCATCACATGACTTCAACACATTTTTTAGCTTGCCAAATTATGACACAGTCAGTGTCATGGAATCAACATGAATCCACTCAGAAACAACACAAAGTCACTCTTTTAACATTTCGCCCATCATGATAGTTTTCAAAGTTCCCAGGTTTTGTACAGCAAACGTCGTCAGTTGCAGTGTTTGCCCTTCTTGCGAGCGCCCTTATCGAATTTGTCCTTGGTCACTTTGCTTTGCCGCTTGTCCGCCTTGTAGATATTCACAAAAGTAACTGCCCCGCTGCTTGGTGCCCATGGCAGGGGCTCAGGGTACTTCTCAGCGGAGCCAAAGATCCAAGCCCACAGCTTTCCCTTCTCCTTCAAGAACATAGGGCAAGAAGACTCATTGAAACCCACCTTGTCTTCATTGGCAGGGTTGAAGATGAAGTTGCGTCGATCCTCTTCAGAGTTGCTGTTTGGCTGCCATTGGCCATTTGGAGACCGGACCCCCACCGGCACAGTGCCAAGCAGCTCAACCTGCCCCACAAGCAAATTGGCCTTCGTTTGTTGCTGGAACCCCAACAACCACCATCTCCCGCAAGTGTGCTGCACGACCACCTGAGAACACAGTCCTGGCCCACCTCCTCACTCGTTCTTCATCCATGGGAACACCTGGGCTAGAGCTGGTCACAATGTCGGGCCAGAACATGTTGCAGGCCGCCCTGTAAGCCTTCCCCCCACTCAGTGCCAGCTTGGCCTCGTCATTGTTGAAGACAGCCTGGCACAGCCAAATTTAATTTACCCAAAACAATACAAGAAGCAGCAGCAGGCTTTTTAATTATGCAACGACTGCAGAAAATAAAGTTGTCCCACCTGAACACCACTCATCTTCTTGCCTGTGATGTCCAGCGGCGATTCTTCTTCCACTCTTGCAAAGACCTTGTGGTTCTGAATGGTTTGCAAAGCCGCCAGCGAGCGGTCATAGTAATCATGATTCACACTGTCCGTCGGGGGGGTCGGATGAACACTGGCAGAGATTGGTTTAGCTTTAGCTTTGGCCTTTGACTGGGGAGTCTGAGCCTTCTTAGCTGCAGCATTGTCTGCCTTCATCTTCTTCAGCTCATGAGTCCGTTCAGTAATCAGGTCATTCTTGGCTTTTTCTGCATCTTCCTCAGATATTCCTTCAGCAAGCTTCTGGCTTTTGATGATTTCATCACCTTCTTGTCTCAGCTGCTTCTCTTCGGTCTTATTCAGCCTCCACTTGCTCGCCATTGCTCCCAATCAATGGCTCCCACAAATCTTATTTGAGCCACTAAACTGACCTGATCAATAAAAGCAACTTGCAACTTATCAATAATCCAATGCACGACAAAAACATACACAGAACATATTTTCAACTGGCTGTCAGTCCTTGTCGAGACTGAACCAGTCCTGAGAGTTTTTTTGAAAAAGATTGCTGATGTATATGCTCTGGTTGCGCCCGGAAAATGTAAAAAATGTCAAGTGGTGACGAGAGGAGGGGGTCCTCTCGTCACCACTTGACATTGCCGCTGATTCAGCCCGGG